ATGTAGCAACTTCTGCACTGTGTCAAATCTATAATGCAACTAGATGGTGACCAGCACCAGAAACTTCAAAAGAGCTTGGAAGAAGAGGCCTAATCCCAGCAGTTAGGGATTAATTTAAGCATGGGGTGTTCAGTCTCTCCTGTTAAATCTGTTACCATTAGCTTATACCAGTTATCCAACTACACATTTGGACCCTTCTTGAATCCTGTCAACTTCTTGGCCTCAACAACTTCCTGCAACTTCCACCGTCTTACGCTTCAAATAGGAAAAGCATTTCCTTTCATACATTTTGAAATTGTCATTTTTAATTTCATTGAACTTTCCCTATCCTCTCATCTCTTATAAAATAAGGAGAGTAGGACTTCTCAATGCCTCTTCTCTCCATCATTTGTTATTTTTATCTATGCTTGTATCCTTTTTGTTCATCTCCTCTCTAACATAAACATTCCCAAACTTCTCACAGCAAAACTTTTTGGGTTTTTTTGCCTCCCCCAATTAGCTTGCTGTTATCTTAGGGACCTGGACATGGAATTAGACATCTGGTTGTGCATATTGGTAGGTTTAGAGTAGTGCAGGAAATAAGTCAAGAGTATTGGATTTTGGACCACAAATAAATGTGAGTGAAGCAATGAGGAAAATTCTTGAAAACTTAATGGGCCTCTGTAAGGGACAGATGTGTGCAGGAAATCCATTGCATGTGAGATGGCTGGGAAATATGCCCATTTTAAAGAAGTACAGCCCTTTTCCCATTTTTACCACGGTAAGCCTCTTGTTTGTCCCCTTCATAAAAATAAGTTCTGCATAATTGTTCCTCCTATACACATAATTGATTCGGAGTACATACAGAGAATTGCCGATTCCAGAATGTTTTAGAGAAGACCACTGCTAGGACTAGATAATTCTTTAAATAAAAGCAGCCACTAACGTTCACATAGCACTTCCACAAAGTGCTCCCTTCTTTCCTCCATCAATCCATTCATATTCACTGCTGCTTCTGTATGCCAATTAGCTTTTAATTTTTACTATACACAGTGACATCAACAGCCAATCGGTGTATAGAATAGCCAGTTTTTTAGTGTGCCTATAAACTACAGAAAATTGTCCTTGGAAAAACTCCTACTTTCAGATTGGCTGACGACAATAGCCATGGTTAAGTTCAGGGTAAGAGCCATTAAACATAATTACTACCACAGGGTAAAAGTTTAATTGTGTTAAATTTTAAATCTGCATAGTCTAAGCTTATTTACAAGCTGGCTGGATCCTCTCATTACATAAGGAGATATAAATCTGTACTTAAAAATTGCTGTCTTCTAACTTGGGGGGGAAGGGGGCAGGTTTTTTTTAAAGCCTGGTTTAAAAAAAAACTCCTTTATCTCCAAGTCATATTTTTGCTGGTGGTATCATGCCAGTTAAAATCACCTAAATACTGCAGACTTTTTGATGCATTTCTCTAGTAAGCCTACACTCTCTGTTTAAATGACAAGCTTCCTTCTTCTAGAAAATATATCTAGGAGACAGTTTTACCAAGGAATATATTGATGGTCAATAGAGAACTGATATATGAGCTACAAGTTATAGTAGAATCAGACTAAAAACAGGCCTTGGATTTCTCCTAGTATAAAACGTTTTATCCTAGGATCCTACAGATGGACAAGATCATTGTCCCATGTTAAGTACCTGTGAAATATCTGAATTAATACTTTGCCCTGGAACAGTAGTGGCTAATTCGAGTTAATTGCCATTCAAGCTGCATGTGTAAATGACTGTCCCTCCCCTGTTTGATGCCAGTCCCCAGGTAACCCCAGCATTTAACGTCTGTGTGTTTTTTAGCTTTAGCGAATATACAGATCTAAAAAGCTTCCTAATTTTAATCCTATTTTTTCAGGAAAGTGCCAGAATGAGGGCTTTATTGCACCTTCACTTCATTTGCAAAATATTGGATGGTAGTAAACTTTTTAAAGTTAGGTGTTAGGATATAAACCTGGCCTGGAAGGGAGCAACTTTTGCAACTGCCACAAGAGCATTTAACATGTGCTATACTCCTTGAACTTGCATCTGTTTGGTTTTTTTTTTTACTGCACTTAGCATTAAATTGAACATGGGATGCCATCCTGATTGTGAAATAGTTATCTGTAGAGAAAGGATAGTGGGGAATATCTGCAGCTCAGTAGAAGGAAAGAAGTTTAATACACTGACTAGCTGGAAGTTATGCTTATGTCAACATTAGAAAACAACTGATTTCAGCTAGCCAGAACACAAGCTGCAGGTCTCTTGCAAACATTCAGCACAGTTAAACAATCTGTTTGCCTTCAGCCCCCTGAAAAAAGACAGGTGGACCAAGTGCCAAATACATTTTTCATGTTTCTTAAGCTAACTGTTTAAATAGTTAAGTGAACATCTGTCCAAACTTCCCCATAATTTCCATTTAGAGAAGTATCCTATTTGAAACGTGAAGAAAAGCGCCTGCTTAACAATGCAAATGGTGCTGTCTGGGGCCCCTTTATTTTGTTTAATCTAGATTGAGCTCTGCACAACTGTGATGCTAATGAATAATGGATATTTGATGGCTGCACATGCAGCAGTACCATGCCTGGAACAAATCTAGGATTAAGTTTCCCTTTTTCTTCTACCAGATACATTGGGCTGGTTCACTCAGGTTAGCTGTTCTTGCTGTGGTGTTTTTTGGGGGCTGGGTTTTAATGTTTGTTGTGACTTGGTCATTCTAAAATTGTAAATACTCTTGTACTCCCAATCTGCTGGTTTTGAAAGGGAACCAAAACAGATGACTGTCCCTGCTGGTCTGAAAGGTCCTGTTTATACAGTGGGAGGAGACGGTAACAAGGAGGAGTGATAGAGGCATGCTTTTGTGTTACTGAGCAAAATAACTGTGAATGGAGGAAAAACAAACTGGAGGCTAGAATCTCCTTGTACAGTTTGTCTCAAATAAAGGACTTCATATAACCACACTAGCCCTGGAGCTTTCCAGGCAGGAAATTGTGGGCTACCAGCACCTTCTGCTCAAGTTTGCTGCTGATCCATATTCTTCCTTAGAAATCTCCCTGCCCAACTGTGAGAGCAGAAACAAAAGAGGATGCTTTCTAATATGTATTTAACTTGCAGTGCAGAGAAGTTAGAGCCTGTGTTGTGTGGTGTCATAAGATGAACATGTTTCCATTTGCCTTATGTTAGGCTATACAGACTTAAATGCTCTGCTATTTTGCTTTGTTAGGTTTTCCGACCCAATATGGTGAAGTCTTAAAGCAAGATTATATAGTTCTTGTATCACTCTTTTATGAGATTTCTGTATAGCCACTGTACTATAGGCATTTAGTGAGGTGGCAGGAGAAAATGTCTGGTCTCCCAAAGAAAATTGTTCTTTTTTATTTCTTCTTAGAATTCCAGGAGCTGCTTGTTCAGGAATAACAGAAGAACGATGGATGTGTACTTTAACATGTGACGCAAGAAATAAGATTTTACTTTACCTACCCAAAAAACCCCAAACAGCTGGGGGGAGAAGAGGGGAGGGGGATTAGTTTTTGAGGATCATACCACTTCAGGGATCATGCTCCACAGATCAGTAGCATTGATAAAGTGAGGAAATTACAGGCTGAGAAAGCAGCCAAAGTTTTTTAATGTATGCTGGGCTAACTGATCCTCTTCTACATCTCCTGTCCAGGTGGGCAGATTGCATAAATGAATGTATTTAGAGAGGCATGAGTTTTTTTCATAGGCTTCAGCCTACTTCATCTGAATGAGTGAGTTTATAAGGTGCTGCCCTGTATTGCCTTCTGCCGAACTTGAGACTGCTAGCTCTCTCTTTCCTACCTAGGTACTCATGAAAATAGCTAGCATCTTCATTCACAAGATCCAGCTTCAAAACTTTGAGGGATGCCAAATATGTTCAATGTTTGGGGGAAGTGTTACAAGCATGTGTTTGCACACACAGTTAATGATTAGTATGAGAGAGGTGTTTTCCATATTGCTTCAAGAGTAAGGTTAAATCTCAAGCTGTCTTCTAAATAGAAATTAACTAACCACATGTATGTTGATTGTTCACGATCTACAGCTGAAACTTCTGCTTCATGGACTACATTGAATGCAACTGAAAACTGATTTTAATGGCTTTAATTTAGCAGTGCGGTGGTGCCTATCACCAAGGAGTGGTTCTGGATCATAGGTCTGCAGGGACTTGTTTTTGAGGGTCAGAGCTGGGGGAGTGATACTGTAGCTTTCGGTTATCCCCCTGAGGGAGCTGTAACAGCAGCAGACATCTGGGGAGACAGATAGGGAAAGCCAAGATGAAAATGGCAAAGCTTCCAGTGCTGAAGGGCTATCTTCAAGGATCTGGGAGCTGAAGTGGAACAGCTCAACATGCCATGCCTTGGTATAAGAGCTTAGCTGGCTCCCAGGAGGATAGGGTTAGGAGCAGAGGTGGGGAAGTGAGAAGAAAAACCTGTAAAGTGGCTCTGTAAAACATGAATGCACACTGCTTTTTATGCAGGGGATAAGTTAGTGTCTTCCTGAGCTGTGCTAGAGGTGGCAAAGTTTGTAAGTCTCCTGCACTTTTGCCCCACATAGCTAGGTTACTGACAGTCTCCGTCAGCCCATTAGGTCACAGTGAAGAGCAAATGGGGCAAGAATGCAGAGGAAAGAAAGCAAGATATGCAGAGAACAAACCCTGCTACTCCGGATAACCAGAGAGTTTGTTGTGACTGAAATTTTGTGAGCCCCAAAATAGCATTCTAAGTGTTTAATGTTTTTCTCCATTAGCCAGTAAATTAGCCCTAGGCTCACGAGCTGAGTGAAGTTTCATCTCAACAGGCAGAGCTTGCTCACCAGGCAGTTTTATCCCAAGTTCCTGCACACTGGTTGGTCAGCGAAATGGAGACGGCAACTTCTATTTATTGGTGCAATACAGTATTTGATACTGCTAATTACACTTAATTAGTCCTTCCACCATTTAATTAAAATGGCTTCTAATGATTGTGCTTCTTTGGCAGGCTCTTTGGTACCACCGGGAATTGTGCTGCTTGCAGTAAACTGATCCCTGCCTTTGAGATGGTGATGAGGGCCAGAGATAATGTTTACCATTTGGATTGCTTTGCCTGCCAGCTCTGCAACCAGCGGTGAGGAC